GTGTTGTTGGTCAAGGTCTTGTCGGTCAAGGTGTTGTTGGTCAAGGTCTTGTTGGTCAATGTCGATATCCGGGTGGGTATTTCGAATATGCCTGAGAAGTTTTGCGCGATTACAAAAGCCCTTTCGAGCAGAAGGGGTTGCACACTCTCGCACAGGGCATGTCAGATCCTCTGTGCCCGCTTCCTCAACTTCTGTCGCCAATTCCTCGCCAAGGTTCGTCGCACTGGCGCGCCGCATTGTGCGTCGAGATTTCCAGTTCCGATGCTGAACGCTCATATGGCGGTCAAGGTTTCTTCGATCATGGAAGGCCTCAGTTGCCCGATCGCAGCCAGTGACCGGACAGAACAAGTTGTCATCCGTTCCAGTCGACATTTGGGTGTCATCTGAGGCAGTCGACATTTCATCTGGCGCAATTAAGACCTGGCTCAGTGGACAACTACTGCCAGTATTTCGACACTCGTTGCAAGCAACGATCGTAGTGCTTACCTTCAGAGCAGGATGATAGACCCTACAATCTAATCCTTTCTGGGCGCATCGGTCACAGGGCTCAGGGGCTGGCACTCCGTACACTCCGTGTATTAGACGCGCATGGGCGATCTTTTCAATGTAGCATTTAGATAGCTGGTCCCAGTTCTTTCTGTATGCATATTGCCCAGGAGCAGCATTTGCAGTGCAAAAGTTGCGGTGGTCAAGCTGTTGTTGCTGCCTTGTGACTCCATCCGGCAAGGGTCCACAAGTAAAGACCACTGTGTTCTTAATGACAATGTCAACAGCCTTTTTGGGGCTTATGAATTTGGGGGGTGAGGATGCAGTTGAGAACTCCTTTGAGTTTACATGGCGCGAAGAAACTCCCGGGCGATGTGTTTGGGACACACTTGGGCATGACTTCTCAATGTTGGTCTGTAGGCCGGCGACAGGATCATTCCTCGGTGTTTTTGGTGTGCTAGTAGGCAAGTCGGATGCCCACAAGACTCGTTTCGATCCCGATGCTTTCCGCTTCTTTGGCGGAGAAAACCCCAGGGCAAATTCCTCATTGCGGCCGGGGACAAGAACTTCGGTATCGCCACGCCGAACCACTTCTTCCTCGTCTACCATCGGCAGTCGATAATCCTTTCTGGTGTTAGCACGGAGCTTACGCCGCACATCCGGGTCCTGATCCTGGTCCTGATCGTGAGTCTCGTCCTCATCGTCTTCAGAAGTCGTTCTTCTCCGTTTCTTTGGTGGCTGAACATGCGGACTTGGGACATCGACTGACGTTTGGTGGCTTGAGGTTGCAGCAGAGTTATCTTGGACGGGGCTCGGCGTCAACAGGCCCGGCGTCAACAGGACCGGCGTCAACAGGCCCGGCGTCAACAGGACCGGCGTCAACAGGCCCGGCCTCGAGTCCAGCAACGGCGCTTTAGTGGTAGCGGTGATTCGGGGTTGGCCGTCATCTCCTCGTTTGTCGATGAAGTGCGCATAGAGCTCCATTTTACCGTCATTGACGTAGTCCTTATTAAAGTAACCCGCCATGTCCCAGATAACCTGCGTAGTATGACACCCGCACTCCCCATTTCCGAAGTGGAAATGAACGTCGTACTTTTCCGTCGTCTTAGGCTTGAACACGGCGAGTCAAGTCTTTGGAGATCCTATATAATTGCAATCAGCGAGGTTCAAAATAAACGTAGCATTGTCAGTCTTACGGCGTGTTTTCGTGCGAGAAAGCCTGGAATAGTGGGCTGAGCTGTATTCGCCTGGCCATGTTCACGGAGGATAATTCGTGCCGGTTCTGGCATGCTGAGAAGTGCCGGTGAGTGCCGGAGCAGGCGAGTGCCAGAGCAGGCGAGTGCCGGAGCAGTCGATATTGATATCGCTTGCCCAGAACGCACCCGATGGAAGAAAAGACAACAAACTTCCCAGCAGTTGAACAATACGATGAGACGTACGAAAATTTGGATTTGAGGATGGGGTTGAAGAGGAGAAGGGAAGGTGTCAAGCTGGAGGGGTGAAAGAGAGAAGGCACACGGGCACGAACCATGTTCGAAAAGGGTAGTCGTGGACTGGTCGCTTTCCCGTACACCGTAAACACCAGTGCGCCACACAACATGTGGCTAGTGAGACAACTCTCAGTCGCACCTGGGCATATCATAAGAGATCGCTATGTGAAATTGCATTGCAAGTCGACGGGGTGAGAGCGAAGCATCTTGTATTGTTTCTTCTCCAATCCCTAGTGCCGACACATGCTTGTGCGACAGTAAACTGAACGATCTTTACTGTGTATCTTCTCCGACATCGTCTCTAGCTAATATAAAGGGAACTATAGCATTTCTCAGAGAGGCTGAAATCATGAGACTTCACTTGTAAGAGTAGCGTTGCAAAAAGAGGGTATGCACTTGCAAAAGAGATCCTGCGCTATAAGACAACGCACAGTGAAAGAACACTACGTACCGGCTAACTAAGCTTAAGGTAAACTGACACGTTCTGCTTGATACCTAGGTACATTCTATGGTCATATCCACATTTTACCTCTTTCTATCAACTTTAACCCCACCCAGACCCGCATACGTCATCCTCCCACAGGTTCATCCGGCTGCTACAGGGTGTAGAAGGGGTCCAGATCCAATAAGCGGCCGCGATCTGCTCGAATTTCGGATTCTGATTTGCTCGGGATCCTACCAACACTAGCAGGCGACCACTCCGACGCGCCTACACCCTGTAAGTTGAAACACGGCACATAGAGTGAGTGGTCCATGCAGCGCGATTGCATCCCTGTGCACATCCCCCTAAGACTTGGATCGCTGCTGCCGCAACGGCGTGTGATGATCGAGTGAGAAACAGTAAACGGCGCGCTGCGGCTGAGGTAGATAGAGCTGGTGGCATATAAGGGTCGGTATGGTTCCGCGCTGGATGTGTGGTGGATTGGAGCCTTTGTATATCTGAGCCGCTGTACTACAAGAAGCGTTCATTCCATATCTTAGAAATTATAATAGAAGTAATGTCCACAACACAAAGCAGAACATTATATCCTAATATCATCACACTACCCTTCCAAAACCCCCCCAATCGTACTACTCCCCCCTCCCCTCGCCTCAGCCAACAACCTAGTCCCCACAACGCCTCCCCCATCCTTTCTCTCAAAGACTGCCGCAACCGCCCAAAGGCCCACAAAAGGCTCATACACCCACTCCGTCTCCCACGTCTCCTCGCCATTAAACACCACACTCATATTAAACCCATTAAACCTCATATCGCTCCTAAAGTCTCCAACCTTCACTTCCTCGCCCTGCGGATTTGCAAAGTTATCTAATTTCTGCTCGACGATATCGCCGTTTTGTGCCAAAACGCGGTTCGTGTGCGTGTTCCCAGAGTAGTCGTTTACAGAGTAGAGGATGTTGTTTGAGAGCTGGAACATGTGGAGGTCGAGACCGCGTTTTTCGTTCGCGGCAGCGGCAGCGGCAGCTTCGTCGTCGCCGGGGTTGAGGATGTCGCCGACGTCGTCAACGATCTCGCCGAGCCCGTTGCCGAGTTCTGCGATTATGGGGTTCAGGTCGATGCTCGTGAGCGTGTCGTTGATCATTTCGACCAGGTTCTCCAGGCGCGCTTCAAGGTAGACTTTCG